AATAAGCTAATGAAAACAAGTTATAAAAATACGTAAATGCAAATCAGTGATTTATAAGAATAACCTCAGCAAATTACGAAAATAAGCAAATGCAAATCAGTAAATAAAGAAAATGATCCCAAATAATTAGAACTTGAAATAAGTTGAATGAATAAACGTAAACGATAAAAATCATTGCATTCGTTAAAGAAAACGCCAGTTAATACAGGCGCAATAATTTTAGCACCGCATCGAATAAAGCAATTAGCAATAGCATCTGTTAACGAGAAAAAGATCCTGTCCGTAATTGCAAATTATTTGTACCAGCGGCGAATGAAAATAGCACGGTTGAAAAGAGCGAACGACGCAGCGATACTAAAAAAAGAGGAGGAAGATAAAGGGTAGGAGAGAAATCCCGGTGAAAACAACCTGACGCGACAGGATAATTCCGTCATTACGAGTCCTGATGTTCTTTCCGCCTACGTTTCAGCTTCCAACGAGCGGAAGGTGGGCGCGTGTGCCTTAATACCGAGGGGATGCACGGTATATTGCAACGATGTCAGCTCGGGGAGAGGGGCATGGCGCAGATGCAAGGGAAAAGTTCAGAATAGGACACAGAGAGGTGAGTAGCGATGGATTAGAACAATGTTCGAGTACTGTACTTTAATAGTGATTTGATTGTGTTCTTGGAAAAAAGGCACATGGTTATTCTAGGGACATGGTGGAGATTTTTCGAGATTTCAGTATTTGGTAACTGGATATATTGGGATTCTGCTAGATAGGGAATTTTGGGGAGTTGGTAACTAGGGAATATTGAGAATTTGGGAGTTTAGGGAATTTGGAAATTTCAAAATTGGGAAATTTTCGAATTTGATGACTTGGAAATTTAGGGAGTTGGTATCTAGGGAATATTGGGATTTTCAGAATTTGGGAATTTGGGGAATTTGGGAGTTTGAAAACTGGGAAATATGGGAATTTGGTGACTTGCAAATTTAGGGATTTGGTCACTAGAGAATTTAGGGATTTGGTCACTAGGGAATTTAGGGATTTAGTCACTAGGGAATTTGGAAATCTAGGGATTTAGGAATTTTCAGAATTTGGGAATTTGGAAGTTTTAAAATTGGGAAATTTTCAAATTTGGTAACTTGCAAATTTAGGGATTTGGTCACTAGGGAATTTGGAAATCTAAGGATTTAGGAATTTTCAGAATTTGAGAATTTAGAGAATTTGGAAGTTTCAAAATTGGGAAATTTTCGAATTTGATGACTTGGAAATTTAGGGAGTTGGTATCTAGGGAATATTGGGATTTTCAGAATTTGGGAATTTGGGGAATTTGGGAGTTTGAAAACTGGGAAATATGGGAATTTGGTAACTTGCAAATTTAGGGATTTGGTTACTAGGGAATTTGGGAATTTGAGAATTAGGGAATCTAGGAATTGGGGTAATTGAGATTGAAACTTGAATATTTGGGAATCTAGGAAATTTGGAACTTTAAAATTTGCGAATATAGACAATTTGGAACTTGAACATTTGGGAATCTAGGGAATTTGGAACTTGAAAATTTGGAAATCTAGGAAATTTGGAACTTGAACATTTGGGAATCTAGGAAATTTGGAACTTGAACATTTAGAAATCTAGGAAATTTGGAATTTGAACATTTGGGAATCTAGGAAATTTGGAACTTTAAAATTTGCGAATATAGACAATTTGGAACTTGAACATTTGGGAATCTAGGGAATTTGGAACTTGTAAATGTGTAAATCTAGGAAATTTGAAACTTGAACATTTGGGAATCTAGAAAATTTGGAACTTGAACATTTAGAAATCTAGGAAATTTGAAACTTGAATATTTGGGAATCTAGGAAATTTGGAACTTTAAAATTTGCGAATATAGACAATTTGGAACTTGAACATTTAGGAATCTAGGGAATTTGGAACTTGAAAATTTGGAAATGTAAGAATTCGGGAATCTAGAGATTTAACATCTAAATAACTAATCTAGGGAATTAGGAAAATTTGACTTTCACCGAACATCCAACACATTCTCATCGAACATCGAATTGTTTGAAACCACCGATAAGATCTCGTATCGTCTCCCTCACTAGAGGTGAGACAGGTTGCGTGGCAACCGACGCCCACGAGATGCCACGCGCCTCTGTCCGCTATGGGAATTTGCTGTTGTCGGAAACGTTGCCCGTTAAATTCCTGGAACACGAAGAAAACCACCCCCTTTTACCCCCTCGTCGATTTCTTCCCCCCGGGCCAATTATGCACCGATGATGCGCTCGTGCAGCAATTAATCCTCGTGATTCATCTACCTGACGCCGGAACATTGATTCTTTACTTCTTGCTTCCTTTTTCTATACCTGAGCATTCTATTCAGCTTTTATTGAAATGTTATGACATTTTGAAACATATGGTGGTCATTTATTTTTATTTTTATTTTGAGTAAGCATTTTTTTTTATTATTATTAGCTTCTTTATTATTTTAGGTATTTTAGATGTTTTATATTTTGTTTGATGGTATTTTATTTTTTTAAATTATTTTGTCATTGTGTTTTATGTATTTTATGTTTAAAATTTATGAAATTTATATCTTATGTATAAAATGGTTAAAAATATAGGGTTTTTTAATAGCTATTTTATTTATCATAAAATATTTGTTGTAATGTAATTTTATGCAATATGAAATATTTATTGTAATATTTTATTCAATATGAAATATTTATTTTAAGATAATTTTATTGTAAAATATTTATTCTAATATTTTATGTAATGTAAAATATTTTTTATAACAAAACTTGATGTATTATACAATGTTTATTATAATAAAAATTTATGTGTCATGAAATATTTGTTGTTAATATAATTTTATGGAATATGAAATATTTATTGTATAATATTTAGTGAAATGTAATATTATTTATTGTAAAATACTTACTGTAATATTTTATAAAATATTTGTTGTCAATATAATTTTGTGGAATATGAAATATTTATTGTAAAATATTTAGTGAAATGTAATATTATTTATTGTAAAATATTTATTGTAAAATATTTATTGTAATATTTTATTTAATATGAAATATATATTTTAACACAATTTTATTGTAAAATATTTATTCTGATATTTTATGTAATGTAAAATATTTTTTATAACAAAATTTGATGTATTAAAAAATGTTTATTATAATAAAAATTTATGTCATGAAATATTTGTTGTAATATAATTTTATGGAATATGAAATATTTATTTTAAGATAATTTTATTATAAAATATTTATTCTAATATTTTATGTAATATAAAATGTTTTTTATAACAAAATTTGATGTATTATATAATGTTTATTATAATAAAAATTTATGTGTCATGAAATATTTGTTGTAATATAATTTTATGGAATATGAAATATTTATTGTAAACTTTTATTTATTGCAATATATTAAGTGAGATGTAATATTATTTATTGTAAAATATTTACTCTAATATATTATTTAAATATTTATTTTAAAATTATTTTATTTACTGTCAAATGTTTATTCTAATAATATTTTATGTAATATAAAATATATTTTATAATAAAATAATGCTTCATGTAATGTTTATGTAATAAAATTTTATGCAACGCAAAATGTTTTTTATTTATTATAAAATATTTATTGCAATATAATTGTATATATTACAAACTACATATGATTAATAAAATTTTTACTAATTATTAAAAAATCCACATTAATTAATTTTCACCAAAATTGCATAAAATTTCCCAAATAAAAAAAATCGCCCCAATTTACTCAAACTCTTAGCTTAATTTAAAGTCTTCGATTAATAATAAATTTTCAAACAAAATCCTATCAACAAATAATATTGCAAGTTACCAAAAAATTGTAAAAACGAAAAACGTAATACATGAAAAGGACAGGGAATGTCGCATAAATAATAGACAAGTAATTCTGTATAATTCACCAGACAATGTTTATTCAGACGACCTCACAACTCCCAAGCGTACAAAACGACGTGCTCACTGGGCAATATGCGGGGCTGCGTTTGTATTCTTGCATGTAATACAGTACACTTTCGGTATTTCGTTATTTTGTCGCGTACATTATATGTGTTTTTTTTTTACCACCATTTTTATTATTTTGTTTGCGTTGCGTTTCTCATAATCGTTCCACCAGAAACAACAGCTGCTTTGCATCCTCCTTCTTAATGGATAGAGAAATATATCATACTTTATGTATCGTTTACTATAATAATCATTATGTGTAGTTTATGTATAACAAGTATTACGAATATCAACGCTAGTTCGCTTGCAGGGACGTAATCAGGATCGGGGGGAGGAAACGTGTCTGTGTAAATAAAAAAGATTTGGTCGGATCAAGGGACAAGTGAGTCTGGCCGATGCGAAATTGACCCCGATATACGTGACACGTGTGCACTTGCTACAACGTAAACGGTTCCGATGATCTCTAGCTGGATTATGACTAACGGCGAAGGAAATAAGGGTTGTTCGTGGGGGTGACAGCAACTAGAATCAAACGAGTCCGGAGGGGCTATAGCAAAGGGTTAGTGATACACAGCGTAAAGGGAATGACTTTTTTTCTCGAGTACAATAAATACACAGAGTGTGTTTCACTACGAAGCTTCGGGATCTGTGCTGCGCTGAAAAAAGTAGCGAGACAACGGTTTTCTGCCCATCGAGCAGTTTTTGCCCTACGATTTTTCCTCTCTTATTTTTCCTATTCGCCATCGGATTCTCGGCTGGCTGGTTTCGTGTGATGCTAGCTACGCGTTTCTCTGACCTGTCTTTGTTCGCGCGTCTGCATGTATGTGTGTGTGTGTGTGTGTTTCGCCACGGTTCTGCACCGATATTCTCGGCGTCGACTGTACTACGGGGGGCAAACGGGGGGCGGGGCGGGCG